AAATCTCTTCATATAAACAAACTAAGGCTTTGTCTGTGCTCTTTCCATTTAAAATTAGAGGCAACCACTGCATTTCAATCTTGATCCAAACAAAGATGCTGAAGACTTGCAACATGAGCAGTTTTTAATCTAAATTGGATTGTATAATTTCGAAATTTGAAGGAAAAACAGAATGGTTTGAGTTCAGTTTTGTGAAACTATACATAAAAATATCTGCATGAAACAGAAACAGCAGACGAGCTGAACGAGACGCAGATTAACTCTCTGCCAGCAGGTGGCGCTTAAAGCGTTTCCTTGGTTTCCGCTGTAAACAAAGCAGCGCTGCACTTATGAACTTTAATATGCATTATACAGAAGCAAGATGAAAAGAAAAAATACCATCTAAACTTTTTCTAAAGTTCCACTCAGACATACATTCATATAAACTATGACCCCTAATTGAATCGCGATTTGTTTAGCATCTCAACCCATTTAAATCGTCACATATTTGAATTGATTTTCAACCGGCTCGCGGTTAATCGTTACATCACTAACGTGCACTGATGAATCAACAATCACACTAGAAACACACATAAGAAAGTAAACAGGGTCCGTTTCTATTTCACGTTGACTCATCCTTGAGAAATTGCGACCAATATCAAATGTAAACAATGCATTATAATAGTGAAGTGTACAGAAATCAAAAATACATATGTCAAACAACAGAAAGTAGCGAGTGAATTTGGTCGAAAGGTGGCGGGTCTTTTGTTTTCATTAGCGCGGCGCCGTCTATAGAGCAGCTGCTGTAAATTAATTCCTTTCTAATAAATGTTTCAAGACCTTGAGCCTGTTTGCGTTTAAATGGATCTCTGCCGCCAATGTTCGCTACACAGCTCAGACAAGCTCTCCCACCCTGATATCCTGCTGAACTGAACACTGCTCAATAGAAAAACTCTTTCATTAGCGATAATCTGTCCTCAGCTGAACGTGGCACACGATCCACAGAGACTCTGTTATATTAGCGCAGCACACAGGGCTACAGCGGCAGAGTCTTAACAGAGACTTTCTTTCCATGACTCTAATGAAGCACGACCCTCCACTCCACATTAGCTGCCTTATTTTCTCGTTTAATCTCTCAGAAACACGTCTGAGCCTCGGATGGTGTATTAAAATTCCAGTCAGTCTGCAGCAAACCGCATCTTTCAAGCGTAACACAGCTCACCCTCGAAGCTCTGAGGAGCTGCGGCTCTCCATGTGAGCCTCTACCTGCACCATTCACAGTCTGTTCAGAGAAGGGGCTAGTTTCCATATCCGACCCCATTTAACGAGGACATTAGGGCTTAATGAGATCATTAACTCCAGTTAAACTCTTTCGAAGTGGCGATTGAGATGAAAGGTTCGTGTGGGAAGAGTCTGACACACTGAGGAACGGGTTGTTATCTGTGTGTCGAATCCTTTGAAATCCCCCTCAGAGACGAGCCTGTCTTTCTCTTGTTCTCTTTCTTTTTGTTTCTTATTTCTTTCCTTCTTTTTGTTTGTTCACTCACTCTTTATTCTTTCTTTATTGTGTTATCTCTTTCGTTCTTTGTTCTCTCATTCAGTCTTTTTTCCGCTTGCCCATTCTCTTCCTCTCGTCTTTTTCTTTTCTATTTTTTTCTACTTTTTTTTAAATCTTTTTTTTCCTGTTGTTCTCTTTCTTCTGTCATTTTATTTCATTTTTTTTTAACTTGTGTTTTATGGATTCTCGTCTGTGAAATGCACCACTTCCGGTATTTTGCCGGTTAGTCGACACGAGCAAAATGAAGTCGAGGATTTAAAAAAAATCGAATAGTCGAATAAAATCAACGAATCGCGACGGCCCTTGTTTCTTCTTTTTCATGTGCTTTCTTTCATTTAAAGGTGGGGTAAGCGATTTTAAAAAATGCTTTAGAAAACTGATTTGGGCCGAATAGCAAAACAAACTTGTAGCCAATCAGCAGTAAGGGGCGTGTCTACTCATGATGTGGAGGAGAGAGCTTTCAGTGCACAGGACGGACATTAGCCAAGCCGAGCGACAGAATAGAGATGGCGGATAAAAAACAAAAGAGGAAAACGTCTGCGGAACAAACGAAGGCTTAAGGCAATAAGTAAACCCGTGTAAATATCGGATCAGTTTTCCAGCGCTGGAGAGAACTCATGGAGCAGAAGGCCTGCGATTGGACGCCGAGGTTGCTTTGTTTCTTCTCGATAGGCGAGTAACACCGTGTCTGCGCCGCAACAGCTAAAGTCTGTCTAGTACAGTGAATCTCAACCCTTTGGCTTACCGGACCCCAGTCCAATTCAGAACCATCCTCAAGGACCCACAGAACAAAATTGACTCATCTATGTATCATTTGTGTCTTTGTGAGGACCAAATGCAGTCAAGTATAATTCAAGTTAGCCGACTTGTCCAGTATTTGGCCATATTATCAACTATATTGGATTTTTCTTTCATGGGAACATGTCATGTCAAAATATACAAAATTTATACAAAAATTCATACTTTATACGGACCCCCCTGGCCTTCAAGGACCATTAGGGGTCCACGGATCATTTTCTTAATGATCACTAATATAATTAATATAATTCATGGAAAGACGGCAAAATCGAAACATATTAAACATATACTTAATAAAAACAACAAAATATATACCAATATTTTCTGTAAGATAAGTAAATTAGCCAATTTTGTTTAAATGAAGGATTGCAGAAATGAGTACACCCGAGATTTAATTCAGAAAATGTATAATATTCTAGTACTTAGTATGTCGCAGGGAATGAGGGGAGGGTAGCATCTTCTGTTTCAAGTTTGTGTATTACATCACACAGTGGTGTGTGAATTCATGCCAGCATTGATAAAGTACAACTCCCTCACACCTTCAGCACTCATACATCCCTATATAAAAGCTTTACTACCACTGAACGTCACTGTGGGTACCAAGCACTTCGCAACACATGCCTCGTTTATAATGGGTTTTAATGTTTTGGTCTCGTCGCACAGGGACACGGCATCACAGTATGGTGAGGGGCGTAACATTTCCGTCACACGCTTGAGGTATTCGGCCAATCACAACGCACTGGATAGCTGGCCAATCAGAGCACACCTCGCTTTTCAGATCGATGAGCTTTGTAAAGATCGACGCGTTTCAGAAAGGCGGGGCATAGAGGAGAAACAATAATGTACAGTATGTGGAAAATAATGTGTTTTTTAACCTTAAACCGCATAAACACATTTCATTACACCAAATACACAAAATAATGTTCTTTTTAGCAGCATCATATGACCCCTTTGATCTTTTTTTTTCTTACTCTCATTTCATCTCAAGTCTTTCTTTAAGTCATTTGCCATCTTTTATTATTACTTCTTGCTCATTTTTTGTTCTTTCTCTTTTGTGCATTTTGATTTCTTTCATTAGTTCTTTATTTTTCATTTTGTTCTCCTGTTCTGTTCTTTTTTCAAGCCTTTAAAACTACTAAAAGATTTGAGCAGGTATACAAACAGCTCAGCTTTACACAAAAACTGGTGTTCTGAAGCAAATTTGCTCACTTTTTATAATATTTGGAGTGATGATTGGATGATTGGAGTTCTTGTCCAATTCTTACAGTGGCCAGTTGTGAGTCTGACAATCGTGTTTGACAAAAGCAGCTCATGCACAAGGATTCTTCATCTATTCATGATCGCTGAAGGTTTTGACAGACCACTAAAACCTATATGAGGACTCTTTATTTCCCAACAAATATATTTAAATTTGCTCACTTTTTATGATATTTGGAGTGATGATTGGATGATTGGAGTTCTTGTCCAATTCTTACAGTGGCCAGTTGTGAGTCTGACAATCATGTGTTTGACAAAAGCAGCTCATGCACAAGGATTCTTCATCTATTCATGATCGCTGAAGGTTTTGACAGACCACTAAAACCTATATGAGGACTCTTTATTTCCCAACAAATATATTAAATTATTTTTTGAAGATATAAATACATAATACTATAAACAAAGCAACATTATTAAAGGTTGAGAATAAAACTACTTAATTTTTAATGTGGATAATGTCAGAAGGAAGGTAGGAAGAACTGTATAATATCTGAATAATAATAACGTATGAAGGATAGAGAAAGTGAACTGAGAAGTATCAGAATGTTAATGTTCACAGGATGATCGACAGGCCGGTTTATGGTCCCAAGATGCATATAATTATGCAATACTCAATTAGTGACTGGATATGTGAGTTATGTTGTGATAATTAGCATTTTAATGAAAAAAAAAAAACATCGTTTGTGCTGCCTAGGCTTTAATGCCACATATATAATGGTGGAAAAAATGTCAAAACCACACAAAGGCATGCATTTGTACTCGTCAGACGCATGAATGTATGACAAATACCACAAATCAGTTCACTAATGCACAAATAAATACGCCACTTTGTATCTGTAACTGAATGCACAAATAAATGCATTTATACTCCACTCAAATTCCACTCTCAAATTAACGTCTTCCCCTAATTTAATCTTTTTTTTAATTTTGTTTTACTTGTACTTTTTCAATCACTTGGTTCCTTCTTTTGGTTATTTGTTATCTTTTACTCCTCCTCCTTTTTGATCTTATTGCCTATTTTGTTTTCTTTCATTGCTTCCTTCTTTTTCATCATTAAATTTTTTTTTTTTCATGTTGTTTTCTGTAAATGTAGAGCCATTTGCATCTGAACTCTGCTCAAATTTGCCTCTCAAGCTTTCAAAACAGTGTGCATTTCATACATTCATCATATATTTATATCATACTGACCACATAATCATTCACAAGTTGCCATTTATGACATATATGAGCCTAAATGTAATGTGTCCTGCATATTACTGGCCAGTTCATGTTTTGGGAGTCAGTCCTAATGCTGAGGAGGCCGCTGAAGGATTTTCAAGAAGAGACACTGGCAGGCTTTTGAGTGAATGAACTCCTAGACAACAGTGCTTTGATCCTGACTGTAGTCTGCAGTGGAGATGTCACTCTCTACCGATTACTGATGGGAATCTTTCTCCGCTCCTCTATTTTCCTCTTCCTGTCTGCACATCAGATGCCTGGAGACCTCAACAATGACATCCTCTCAGTTCTCAACAGCCTGTCATTATGACTTCATCCTGAAAGACTTCATCCTCAGATCAGGCCCCGAACAAGACAAAGCCGAGTCACACGCAAACACACCAGCCTGGTCGTTCAGGAAAACAGACTTATTCATGGCGAACAATGAACAGAGAATGAAATGTGGTTACGAAACGACTACTGCAGACAAGGGGTGAACCTCTTCATGATGGAAATTTCTCAGAAACCATCGGGCATGTTAATTTATCAGAATGTTAATGTTCACAGGATGATCGACAGGCCGGTTTATGGTCCCAAGATGCATATAATTATGCAATACTCAATTAGTGACTGGATATGTGAGTTATGTTGTGATAATTAGCATTTTAATGAAAAAAAAAAAAACATTGTTTGTGCTGCCTGGGCTTTAATGCCACATATATAATGGTGGAAAAAATGTCAAAACCACACAAAGGCATGCATTTGTACTCGTCAGACGCATGAATGTATGACAAATACCACAAATCAGTTCACTAATGCACAAATAAATACGCCACTTTGTATCTGTAACTGAATGCACAAATAAATGCATTTATACTCCACTCAAATTCCACTCTCAAATTAACGTCTTCCCCTAATTTAATCTTTTTTTTAATTTTGTTTTACTTGTACTTTTTCAATCACTTGGTTCCTTCTTTTGGTTATTTGTTATCTTTTACTCCTCCTCCTTTTTGATCTTATTGCCTATTTTGTTTTCTTTCATTGCTTCCTTCTTTTTCATCATTAAATTTTTTTTTTTTCATGTTGTTTTCTGTAAATGTAGAGCCATTTGCATCTGAACTCTGCTCAAATTTGCCTCTCAAGCTTTCAAAACAGTGTGCATTTCATACATTCATCATATATTTATATCATACTGACCACATAATCATTCACAAGTTGCCATTTATGACATATATGAGCCTAAATGTAATGTGTCCTGCATATTACTGGCCAGTTCATGTTTTGGGAGTCAGTCCTAATGCTGAGGAGGCCGCTGAAGGATTTTCAAGAAGAGACACTGGCAGGCTTTTGAGTGAATGAACTCCTAGACAACAGTGCTTTGATCCTGACTGTAGTCTGCAGTGGAGATGTCACTCTCTACCGATTACTGATGGGAATCTTTCTCCGCTCCTCTATTTTCCTCTTCCTGTCTGCACATCAGATGCCTGGAGACCTCAACAATGACATCCTCTCAGTTCTCAACAGCCTGTCATTATGACTTCATCCTGAAAGACTTCATCCTCAGATCAGGCCCCGAACAAGACAAAGCCGAGTCACACGCAAACACACCAGCCTGGTCGTTCAGGAAAACAGACTTATTCATGGCGAACAATGAACAGAGAATGAAATGTGGTTACGAAACGACTACTGCAGACAAGGGGTGAACCTCTTCATGATGGAAATTTCTCAGAAACCATCGGGCATGTTAATTTCACAGAAAATGATCCCACTTATCCCTCATAGAGATGGAGCAGAAGAGCACAGCTCATTGACTGATGTTCCTGATATTGAACTGTAAGGGTCTTTGTATGAGAGCAGGATAAAGGTCTTATTATAGGGTTCATAAAATATCTGCGCATTACATGTCTAATTTAACCGCTCGCAGAAATGGCCCTGACATGCATGACATTTTTTCAATATCATTTGATGACGACGTGTTTTTAAACTACCTTTTAATTCAGGTAATCCATTTGATTTTTGGAAATCAAATGGATTACCTGATTCTGTATTTTTTGTTTTATTTTGTCTGGATTCTGTGTTTTATAATTTAATACAAATTTATCATAAAAAAACAAATTGAGTCCAATATCAAAATATCAAAAACAATGTATCGCCCATTAGCCACTTGCCCTCGAGTAGTGGACAGATGTGTGTTAAATGAGCTGAATCTTTCCTCCTGGGAAATAAGGCTGGAAATGTTCAATAGTTTTTGAAGCCACAGCTACAATAATTAGAGCTGAAGTCAAGACCAGACCCAGCTCAATATCAGACTCCCTAAGACCATCAACAAAACTAGACTCCTTAAGGCCTACATCCAGAACCAGACCAAGAGCTGTCAGTCCAAGAACAAGCAATAAATTGTCAATATACAGAATATATTTGTCTTGCAAACCATCTGTACGGTGAAAACACCAGATTATCATCTTCAGCACGTTGGAAATAGACTGCGGTCACTGACTGGCCCTCGTCCCCGGGCTGAACACAAACATCAGAGGAATCTTGCACCTAACCATTGAGTGTGAATACGCAGAAATCTGTTTTCGACTTTTACAGATGCTCTATTCATTTGTTTCTTTTGTGTTCTGTGAGCTGCAGCCTTCAAAGTTTCAGATAAATTCTGAAAAAGACGCTTTCATTGAACAACACCTTTGCACTTGCACTTCTACACTGCGTTTTACCTGACAGATGGATTGAAAGCAGCTTCACAGAGAATACAGGTTTACAAAGTGACTGTAGCAGTGGAGAACTGCAGGAGATTGTGTAGATAGAATTACAGTGGTTGCTAGATCAAAGAGGTTACTGACACCGTTTAAGTGGCATTTACCTGTTCTTTCACACATGGCCACAGAAGTTTATGGATAAATACCTTGCGTGCAGTGTGGATGTCGAAGAAAGGCTTGTTCCTGACGCTGAAGGGCTCCTTGGATTTATCAATTTGGCCCAGCTTAATTTTCTCAAATCGTGGGAAGATGATCTCCTTCTCGATACACAGCAGACGTCTGTTGAAGTCACACTGACCCACAGGCTGACCCTGCAAAACAAACCACACAGCCACACACACACACACACACACACACAACTCAATTCAACACAACTAGTTCTACACTTCAAATAAATCGATTAAATAATTACTCCAGTTTGTCTTTTCCAGTTAACAAGATGTACTGTAACTCTGTGTTATGCAAATTGCTTGTGATTTTACATCAGCATGTCAGTCATTCAGACTTCATGTTTGAAAAACAATATTACTCATCTATATGAATATATTTGACTACTTCTCTTTAAAGGTGTCTTTTTGTGCCATTTTGCTCTACCAAAATAGACGAAATTTAAGTTTTAATGACCCTTTTGCACCGTTTTTAGTTTCTGTCCTACATCTTTAAAATGTCTACATGTAAATGGCCTCTATTATAACTGGCTAAGCTCTGTGTGTTATTAATCATGTTGCTTCATTCTGAGTAAGTCCTTATGTCCTTAAGAATTGTTGAAAAAAGTTTTTTTTTTCTTTTTCTTTTGCGCACAAAATGTATTCAAAGTGACGTGACATGTGGCCAAGTATGGTTACCCATACTAGGATTTAGTGCTCTGCATTTAACCCATCCTTAGTGCACACACACAGCAGTGAACACACACACACTGTGAACACCCATGAGTAAGGCAAGTAACAAGTGACTTATTTCTTACGATTGCTCTTAAGACAAAACATTTTAAATTCTTGGGTCCAGATTTACTAAATAGGGGCAAATTAATGCAAGGGTGCAATCCCATAAAAGCGGCGATGAGAGTGGAAAGTTCTGCGGCTGATCTACTGACAATGCGCAAATTAAAGAAACCAGACACAACATCTCCCTTCCATAATGACCAACACAATCGGTGTCCTTGTTACACGTACCTACTATAATAACAATTAATTATGCATGATTGCATGCAAGCAGCCCTAAGCTAAAAATTCTAACCCTAACCATATAGTAAGTACATGTAGTTAATTAATTAATATTACTCAGTACGTATATGCATAATTACAGTGTAACAAGGACACCTTAAAATAAAGTGTAACCCAATTAGGGCTGCACGATAAATCGAAATGAAGCAGAATCACAGAAGCTGGGATTGTCATGCGTATCTTTCAGTGAAGCACGGTTCTGTGATCAGCAGTAAATCTCCATCCAAAGGCCAGAGGGCGCTCTCGCGCTGAAACTCCAAATACGCCTCGCAGAAGAAACCCAGAAAATCGCTGCAGCTGAATAAACAGAAGATTCAACTGCTCCCAATATGCAATAAAGTCAGCCACAGTAATGCGTCTATGCCTTTTCATCGCTAATGTTTCATTGCGTGCCTTTAGTAAACCTTGCAGTAGTTCTTTTAATGCCAAAAGAGAGTTTGCGCTAGGATACCTCTAACTTGTCTAAAATCCCCAATGGTAAGATGTTTGATGAATTTATTGGACTGTTTCAGAAAATAAGCATCCCAACACAACACTAGCTACATATATTTTAACAACTCTAGAAAAAGCGTGTCAAATCAGAATCTCATATTAAATTTTGTAATTGTCACAGCATAATTTTCAACAGCACACAGATGAACCAGATGTTCACTAAAGCCGCTGTAAGAGCCATATGTTATTTGTTTATATAGACGTGGAATAAATAAATAATTGTGTGTGTTAAGCAATTGTAAAATAATTATAAAAGTAAATAATTTAATATGTGTATTATATTTCATATTGACAATGATGTCATTTCCGGCAAGGACCGTTAGTTTTTTGTGATGCAATATTGGAGCGAAACAGTTTTTTGACCGTGTAACATTTTTCCAGTTAATTTTGTTATTAAACTTTACCTAAAGAAAGTTTCTGGACTACGGAATGTTATTCGAGTTCAAATCACGCTCACACATGAAGAAGAAGCAAGAAAGATGAAACTTTAAATGGATTGCTATCACAGCCGCTTTTCCACCGTTGGGCCGAACGGTTCCAGTTACGTTTCCACTTGAGCTCGGTTGTGTTACCAAGGCAACGACTGACACGTTTGTATTATTTTCATATTTTCAAAATGATCGGCTGAGACTGGGTCATTTTGCAAAGCATTTTCGCTGTCAGGAGGAGTAGACAAATTACAGTGATGTTGCTTTTAAGACACGTTAAGAAGAGTTAAGAAACCTACAAACTGGAGTTTATGCCATGAATTCACCGATTTCAATCGAGATGGTACAATGCAAGATAATGTTCCATCAGGCGACTCATCTGCTGACAATTTAACAATTTAGAAATACAATTTGCTGTATTACCACTTGATTTAAACTGGCCCGACCCTTTCCACACCATCATAACAGATTTTCCCCCATGTCTTTCCATCAAACTCACATGTCAAGCCGTCTCTAGTGTGTGGGTCTCTGGGTGGACTGGGGAGTTTAAATGCTAGAGTATGACTCCATTGCACAAAAAACATGTAATTGAAAAGATCAGGCAAAATTTGATTCATCTTGATCTGTTCCCATTAAGTGTGCTGAGGGAACGTGTTGAAGGAACAGACGCGGTGTGTATGCGAGCAGCTCTGGAAATAATCCACCTCACTCTCTCTCCATCACGACCGCAGCCGCGTCTCCATGGTAACATCTCCACATTACGCTCTCTGGTCTCGGATGTATGGCAGCGCTCCGATGGGACCGCCGATCCACGTCACTACGACTGAATCAAAGCTTCACCTCCTCACTTAACGTCTCAATAAGGTAGCGACCTGCTTAACATCTCCAGTGGAACCGCACATCAGACAAGTTAAACGCAATCCACTGCAGCTCTCCGCGGACTCCGCTCTGAAGGGGCTTGTTTCTGAAACGATTCATCCTCGTGTAGACAGAAGGCTCATGTATTACAGCATGACAACACTCGTATCTCTTTAGGAAGCTCCTCTTGGGTGACTTTGACTCATTTGACTCAGTATTTGATGCAACACAGTCTGTATTTCTACATATAAACAAATGAAGTCCTGCAACTGATGTATTTATATGCATGTATGATTTATGACGCTATGGTGCACCAACATTAAAAGTGACAAGCATGTCTGGGAGCTGGTTTATTTCATCACTACCAGTGAATGCTTACTTAAAGATCAAAACCAAACCAAACCCCCTGTGAAATCTTTCGCCCTCATCCTAAATTCATGATTGTGAGGATTCCTGGATTTCGCCCTGTGAAAATTAGAATCTTTTTTATATTATCATATTTTACATCTATTATGTTTAAGAAACTTCTAAGATATTTAAGAAGTCATTCATGCTTAAAATCCATGGTTTAAAGAACAAGGGCTAAATATAAGCATGAAGTGTTCAAAGAGTTTTCAAAGGTGAGTTATTGGGGCAGAGATGAGAGTAAGAAAGAGATACAATTTAACAGCAGACATCTTCCAAAACCAACCTCTATAAATTCTACATCTTATTTGCAATTTTTCAATTTCCCAGTTTCCTATCGCAAGAGCAGACACACCAGCAGCCCGACTCTCTGCGGGCAACTTCCAAACGCAAATTGAGGAATAAAACGCTCATCTATATTTAAGAGCCTCTCCAGACTTACACATTCCATATCAAAAAGTAATGAAAGCTTCTATAAATCCAGGGCCTGACAGAATAATGGAAACATTACGTGAAAAAGGAATTGAACATAATAAGATTCAAAGGTGAATCATTTTAGATTTAGAAAGGGTCAGCATTAAAGACTGCACTTCCACTCCCACCTGCTCTGTTTCCAATGACAACGTAACTGATTTTTGTTACTACATACAAACAAATGCAATTTTTAATAATGACTTAATATGTGGTATTTGCAAAAAATTATATTATTTTATACAGATGAGGAAAGTGACTGGAACAGCTCCGCAGAATGACAAATAGAAACGGGTTTGTCATTTGCATGTTGTAAGGGATTACTCCATCAGTTTGTGCTGACTGGGTTATTCTCCATGATTTGAAAACTACACGGTTACAATATTATTCAGAGCCCTGGTCCAGCTTTGCCATCACAGGAATAAATTAAATTTTGAAATATGTTCAAATAGAAAACAGCTATTTTATATTATAATAATATTCCACAATATTACCGTTTTTACTGATCAAATAAATGCAGCCTTGGTGAGCATAAAGTAAGTTGAAGCTCGTCTTCAGCCAGGGACGTACAGAGATCTGCTAAACGTCGAAAATAAAGCCTCGACAAAAAGACTTCATAAGTGAATCAACACCTGTGTGAACCAAAAACAACAAGCCTTGAGCTTCATGAAGCCTAAATCTGCAGCAGGGCTGTCATTCAGACACAAGTCAGCATACAAATTTTGCAACCCTAGTTATATGTCACTGAGATAATGTCTTCCAACGTAGGCGGTTCTCAGCAGAATAAGCTACAAAATAGATTTTATGCTGTAAATCAAGTGTCTGGCTTAAGCATATTGTTGTAGTTGAGACCAGTTCATCAGTCTGAGTCAGAGACAGACACCAAATAAGGGTTGAGTCCACGTCAAGACCGAGACCAGAAGAAGTTTGAGTCCGAGTCCAGACCAAGACCAGAAGAGAAACGAGTCCGAATCAAGACTTAGACCAGAAGACCTGCTTAGCATAGTCTTAAAAACCTAAAAACTAATAATCAATTTTTTTTTTTCTTCAAGACTGGTCATACATTTTTTAAGTCAGTTACAAAAGGTAGTTTTGGTCTAATTTGGTTGGTCAAACTAGCTCTGAAGACACAGTCTTAACAACATAGTGGCTGTGTTTATGGAACTGGCCCCAGAAGAGTCAAGACTGAGACCAGAAGAAGGTTGAGTCTCGAGACCAAGACCAGAAGAGGGTCAAGTCCGAGTCAAGACAAAGTCCAGAATATAGGGTCTAGTCTGAGACAAGAAGAGAATCTAGTCCAAATCAAGAAGGTTGAGTCAGAGTCAAAACTAAAACCAGAAGAGGGTCTAGTCCAAGTAAAGATAGAGGCCAGAAGAGAGTCTAGGCCGAGATCAGAAGAGGGCTGAGTCAGGTCTCAAGTATTACAAGGCTGCT